AGGAAAAAAAAAAAAAAAAAGAAAAAAAAAGAAAAAAAAGAAGAAAAAAGAAAAAAAAACACGTTTCGCTTGATATTGCGAATAATCATATTATCAGATAATTTGTATTATTCTTTCGCTCCTCGATTCGCCATTCATTTCGATCGAATCGAAGATGATTAAGGGAGGATTAAACGAAATACGCGTCTTTTCCCCCTAGATAATTGATGAACTTGAGAAGGTGCGTACTAATATTTTTCTATAAGTCTGTAGAATACGAGAATTAAAGTGCGATTTAAAAAAAAAAAAAAAGATTCGTTCTTTTGTAAGTAAGTCGTAACGCGTATTTAATACGCGTGTCGTTATCTATTTAATGATGATATTCGCTAGAGGTGCTGATAACGATCAATATTCACATCATAAATTATATATATTATATAATAAAAAGTTGAACAGACAGATCAGATATAATAAAGATTAATATCATCATCCAATTACTATCGAATATATAATTTTGTATAAACTATATATAAGTAATTCTTGAACGAATCGAATTAAATATTTTTCTTAGAGATCTACATTTTTGATATTTGATATACAAATGATAAAAATCATTGTACATAAACGAAAATATTTTCGAACAGATTTACAATCAAAATTTAATATCCTATTTCTGAATTTGAATTCGTAAAATTCATCGCGCGATTAACTATCGTGCAAAGACATATATTTTATTCCTTAAGCTTTGTACTTTTTCACATTTTTCAGAAAACGTTCTTTTTTTTTTTTTGTATTTGTATCTTCGCATAAAATTATATTTGTATAAAAAATAAAATTAAAAATGTCTTATTCATATGTAGCAAATAAAAAACTTGTTTCAAACTTACACTTTACCTCGTCTTTGCCGCTTTTCAACAAAACTCGCATCTAGTTTCGCGGGTATCTTCAATATTATCGTGTATTGCTAAACGCAACGATAATATAATAAACTTAAGCTAGCAGCACCTCTAGAATTAGCTTTAAAGAGGCTGAAAATAACAGCTGAAAATAACAGGCTGAAAAATATTTTGCGAAGAAAATTTGAAACAGTTGAGCTCGAATCTTTCTCTCTCCTTTTTTTTTGTCCTCCTTTGTTTCATATTTCGAGATATTTATATTATTATACGCGAGTAATATAATTACAAAAATTTCAATATGATTTAGCGTATGCCTGTCGATACATCTCCAATGTAATATCTTAAAAAAGAAAATCGATTCGATCGCATAGAAAGATATTTAATATCCAGTGAACAAGATCCCGCATTCATCGAGCTTGAAATATCATATACACGAATAATACACATATATTCGAAAAGCTGTTTTACAAAAAGAGCTATTCGTTTTAAAAGCATTTGTCCAAGAATAAAAAATAAAATTCCCTAGATTCACTTTTTCTTCGATTCGTGTGTCGATACTTATTACATATACACATGTGTTAAGAAATAATTGTTAAAATGAATGTAGAGATTGGACAGTTGGTGGAAGAGTACTTCTAACGAAAGGAAGAAAAGGATCGAGTCGATTGATCGAAAGATTGCGTTTCTTTTTATTTAACATCGAATCAATGCCAATAAATATATTTACAGAACCTTGACCTATCTCCACGGAATCAACGGATTTTATTCTCTTCCTGCGTTCTTTTATTTTCCAAAGCGAAAATGATCGAAGACAATTAGAGTTCGTATTCCATCATACTTCTCTCGTGTATTCGCTAGCTCGAATGAGAGAGAATATATTCGTGTGTAGAAGAAGGGCGGTAAATATAATTAATTACAATTTATTCATATACAAAAAGAAATGAAATGCTAATTAATTTTGTAAAAAAATACAATCATCTCATCGATGAGAAAATAATTTATAAACATGTTTATATCTACGTGTTTATACGTTAATATTAAATACTATATTATTATCTCTTATATGCTATCACAAACTACTGACTATTCCTTTATACATCTTGTTCGATCTTAATACTTTGTATAATTAGATTAAAAAAAAAAAAAAAAAAATAATTTAATTGCATAAATGAAAGATTGAAACCAAATTAGTCGTTTTTCTTTTTTTTTTTTTTTTTTTTTTTTTTTCTTTTTCTTTATTCACTACGATAATTTACATATTTCGACTTCTTCTTCGTACTAGTAAAATGTCGATTATCGATTAATCGTTAAAATATTTGTCGTAATATAAAAATTATTGAACGAAAGATGATATCTTCTTTCGAGAGAGAAAGAATGGCGAATATAAATTCTCGAAAAGAATCGAAACATCGCGTATTAACATATATAAAATTCAAAAATTCTTTGAATATTGTACGACGAAGAACGAAATCTCGGGAAGAAATGTATACTCTTCAAATATTTATTCTAAGAGGAATACGAAATTCAACATATCCAAGAATATATTTCCGCGT